TTTCAAAGGAAAGATTGCTATCAAATAGCACACCTAGGTTCCTAACTGATGACGAAGAATTAACAGAGCAGTTTTTTTTTTTTCAGAATTAGGAAATTACTAGTCATTTAGTTTTTTATATCAACTATGCATTCCGTTAGTTTTGTGAATTGGTATTTTTCGCAGAGCCGCGAAGAAATATAGAGCTGAGTGAAAGCTAACACCATGTTTCTTGATGGTATCTCCCATGGGTAACATGTAAAGTGTGAAAAGCAACGGTCCTAGTACTGAGCCTTGAGGCACTCCATACTGTAATTGTGATCGATTAGGAAATTACTAGTCATTTAGTTTTTTATATCAACTATGCATTCCGTTAGTTTTGTGAATTGGTATTTTTCGCAGAGCCGCGAAGAAATATAGAGCTGAGTGAAAGCTAACACCATGTTTCTTGATGGTATCTCCCATGGGTAACATGTAAAGTGTGAAAAGCAACGGTCCTAGTACTGAGCCTTGAGGCACTCCATACTGTACTTGTGATCGATATGATACCTCGTCATTCACTGCTACGAATTGTTGACGGTCAGATAAGACAATGCAATTCCACTAATGCCAACATAATTTTGTAGTCTACTCAAAAGAATGTTGTGGTCGATAGTGTCGAACGCAGCGCTAAGATCCAGTAGCACTAATAGAGAAATACAACCACGATCAGATGATAAGAGCAGGTCATTTGTAACTCTGATGAAAGTTGTGTTTTTTTAATGAGATGATTTACAAAAAGCACTTTTGTTTATCTGTTTTTTATTTGTTGAACATCAATTAAATTGTCACCCTTAAATTTGTTTAGACGTTTTTTGTATTTGCTAACAGACACAGTCTCTATAGTGTGATATCTCGGTGAAAGAGACTTCTGTGACGTGAGGCGGCTAGCAGACGGTCGGTTTATAAGTTAGGTATTGCGTTAAATGTAGAATATTGTAAATTATGTTCCTTGCTGATTATTATTCAAATGTATTATACAGTATGTTCACACACGTAGGTCGCATTTACTAACTCTAACATATTTTATATTATGAATAGAATTATATTTAAATATATTTTATACATGCAATATTGTTCAGATGTGCTAAAACACCCGTTTACATACTGTTGTTAAATGAGACACGTGACTAACGTGCGGTCAGATAGCGACTACAACTCCCAGAATGCAGTGCGCGCGTCACTTCCTGAGTCTCCGCACACAAACACCACCAAATCACTGTCTTGATTATCTCTCATAATGAGAGGAACACATATTATACTTGAACTTGAGCATGAATGAAACCCGTTTCTGAGGTAAGACGCGCGACTTTATGATTCTTTCTCATTGTTGATGTTCGCCCGCTGTCATGCTAATGCTAACGGGCTAACAACTTCAGCAGTTTCAAATGGAAATTCATCAGAAGTGCATTCGTTAATCATGATGTGAGTGACACGGATCACCGAAACGGTCCAGAACTGTGGGTTTTAGATGTCTTTAATGGATTGTCACGGAAAGTTGTGGCTAAGCTGTCAGTGTGATGTTAGCATGGCTAGCTGAGGAGCTCGAGCTTCTTACTAAAGACAGGGATGATTAAATATGAAAGATAAACATCTGCTGCTGGATCAGAAGCGAAGTATCAGGCAGTTTAGACATTAAAAGAGTGCAAAGCTCGTGACTGACACATCAGTGTAAGACTGGACTCTGAGTTCAGTTTGAATGGCATTGATATGTTAGTATATTAACATTGATGTGTTACTGTTATTTGCTGTATCTGACAGATGTTTATTTGATGCTGAAATCATATTCATGTGAGGAACTGGATTTAAGAGAAGCCATCATTTGATCCGTTTATAAACCAGATTAAACATTATGAATCAGCATTAGAAACAATAGATCAAACATGACTCATGAGGCTCTTAATTTCTTGTAAATGTTTGTACAGTTTTACCCTGGCACTATTTTCTTACTTATTTGTTTGTTGTTGTTTACATCTGTTGTGAGATGGATAGAATTGTATTCATTTTGCATGTGGTTTTACAAGTTTGGGATCAGTAAGAGTTTTAATGTTTTTTAAAGAAGTAACTTCTTACCATTTAAAATAAAGTGTGAATATGTGTTAAACTGTAATGTATTTCTGTGATGCGCAGCTGTATTTTCAGCATCATTACTCCAGTCTTCAGTGTCACATGATCTTCAGAAATCATAATAATATGCTGATTTGCTGCTCAATTATTATTGTACCACATTTTCCATAAATATATTGTGCAGCACGACTGTTTTCAACATTGATAATAATCAGAAATGTTTCTCGAGCAGCACAATATATTTATGGAAAATGTGGTACAATAATAATGGAGCAGCAAATCAGCATATTATTATGATTTCTGAAGATCATGTGACACTGAAGACTGGAGTAATGATGCTGAAAATACAGCTGCGCATCACAGAAATAAATTACAGTTTAACAGAGATTCACATAGAAAACAGCTGTTTGAAAATGTAATAATGTTTCACAATTTTACTGTTTTTTTTCTGTATTTTTGATCAAATAAATGCAGCCTTGATGAGCAGAAGAGACTTCTTTAAAACACATTAAAACCGATCCCAAACTTTTAAATTAGTGTATGTCAAACTATTTATGGAAATGCCTTGAAATAAATGTGACTTATGATTAGACTTGTGCCGGTATTCGGTAATGCGGTATATCACGGTAATGAATAATACTTAAATATTTAGACTTAATAGACTAGTTATTTTCAAACTTTTTTTACATTTTAATCTGGACTACAACATGCCCTAAAAAATTTGATACCGGCATATCCCTACTTATGATCATATTAGGTATAGATGTGTTTTAAGGCAAGACACTACAGGTGAACTAGGGCTGGACAATAATTCAATATCAATATGTATCGCGATATAATTTTTTTCACACACTCACACATGCGCACACACACACACACTCACATGCACACACACTCACTCACACACACACATACACACACACACGCTCACACTCGTAAACTCGAGGAATAAAAGTTTGGTGTTTGTAAGAGAAAAAACTCACTCTCACACACACACACACACACAC